TTCTTAATAGATCACAACCTTAGAGTACAAGCGTACGGTAAAATCATATCTTGTTCCATATGTGACTAAAAATTTATAAGAGCAATACAGTTACGGCGTCAGTTGAATAAACTTAATCTGGAGCACAATGAAATTTGTTAACATTGTGAAAAAAATTTTTAAGAAAAGATACATTAAAAAGGCATAACAATAGATTCCATAAGAAAGTAAATACTAAAATTTTATATCATGTGAATAATTGTCAATCATTATAGTAATATTTGATATAAAATTTTCTTACATCTTACAGAATACAGATTAAACTATTTTGAACGGAAATCAAAGGTCGATGTTTACCCATCAATATTAAAATATCTATATAAATGAGAAAGAAAATGAATAAAAAATAGTACTGATTTACTATAAATAACAATATTTGTTTTAAAAATATTTCCAGTACCATACTGAAATTCATTTCTTTTATAAGTTAAATAATCATATTTCATTTACGTCTGTTATGAACCGCCCTTAGTTATTTGCCACGGATCCATTAAAGCTTTTATGACAACCATGATTAACTTCTCTGAAAGGTATTTATTATATTTTTTATGTAATTATTCTTAGTACTTATACATTTCATGTATTTAAATTGAAAAAAAAAACTTTTATTTTTATTTAAAACCTTTTGCTTCCTACCTACCTTAAAGCTGACGTAGAAGATTTTAATTCACTAATAGGGGGTTGGCATGAAAAGCGCGCAGAGGGCGGAGCCCCACTAATTTATACATACATATATATGCATTAGTGCTGCAAATTTCAGTATGATCAGATTTATACTGTAGAAATAAGTAGCCACCGAATTTTTCTTTCTTTATTTGCAAAATGCCCTTCCATTTTCTAATTAATTTATTTTGTTCCTCTAAAACTAAACTAAAAAATCTAAAAAACTATTTTAATTAAATGTCCTGTTTTAATTTTTAAAAAATATTAATTTTAGCCGATTTTATTAAGGTTATTTTGACACCGCCACTTTTTTACCGACGCCTTAAATCCTACAAACTTTCAAAATTTTTATTTTAGAATACTCACATTTCTGTAATTTTTTAGTGCTTTGGAGATTGACGATTTCAGAGCCAAGACAGTTTTTTTTTTTTGAAAAAAATCCTGAGCTGTTGCTACAGAACCGATTCTGCTCAAATGTATGGATCATGCAGTTTAATATTTATATTTTCAATAATAAAACTGTACCCAAAGGTACTACTACTTTCGTAAGTTTATTATCACAATATTTTGTCAACTTAGTCAAATACATCTATGTACTTACACCATCACAGAAACCTTCCCCACTCTAACACTAAAAGGCTATGGTATAATATCGATGGCACCGAGGGAGAGTAACATACTAAGTCCACTTCCGTCACATATTTTTCCAAGGTCAGAATTCTGAAATGGTTGATTTACTATTACGCATAACGCTCCTACAGCAGTAAACATTTCAAAATCCGTTAATTTATTGGTCATACTTTGTTAAGGCTACTTTTGCACACGTAATAAACAAAATTATGAATATCCAAATAAGTAAAGTATCTCATTCATACATAACGTATAGTCTGCGAAGGGCAAAATAAGAAAAATTTAGCATAAAAAGAAGTATAGTACAAAATAGAATTTCGATTTTAGGTATACGAACATTTAAACATTCCAAATCCTTATAACCTACGTCATCTTATTATTTTTTTGATCATTATGAAATTCATTATTTCTAAGGTACGGGACTATACAAGCAGACTCCTTGCAGAATTTATTTCAGACAATTGGGCTATCCATTAATTCATCTGAATACTATTTACAGGATGCAGCGATCATCTCAAGCTCGCCCCGACCCTCATTAGGTCTAATGAGAAGATCTCGTCTATTAATCGTCTTACTCAATTTACTGACTTTTTAAAATTTGATGGTAACTTTTTTTATTGACAGTCCAGGTTCTTGCGCATCCCATCAAAACAGCTGCAGAAAAAAATCTAAGTAGTTTTCGACGGGGTTCACATCTACAACCATTAAGTTTTTTTAACTTGGAAGTTACTACGATAATCACTAAGCCATTTACGCCCTTAAAAACACTAACAGTATAATAAAATTTTTACATTGTTTTCTGGTTTAACTTGATTGTAAGGAGAAAACTTTTTTTATAAAATTAGACTTGTAAACAAAGTTTACTCAGTACACTAAACTATTTTTTTAAGGAAACTGGTACTGCCAAGTTAAGTTTTAAAAGATTTTACTGAATTATTTGCAATTTTTTGGTTTACGTTTAGAAATATGAAACATAAATACAATGAAACAACCCATAAAAGAAGTGTGTTATTATAAAAGAATATACGTTTTTGAGTCATTAAGTTATTTAAATGTTATCTTGTGCTGTAATAAGTAAGATAACTCTGACTGTATTTTATACTCGTAAAAGGTAATGTATCAATGCATTTTTTAGATGATATTACGTCAAACACTACTTGCAAAAAAAGTATAAATATAAATTACTAGAATCATAAAAATAAACTCACAAGGACATAAATCAGTGGCATTGAATAATAACAATTCTCAATAGAAACAACATTTCAGTACAGGTTGGAGATTTCAGAATAAAAAAGCAATATTTTAAATGAAGGTTTGAAACATTGTCCTAACATAAAACACTCAAAAAATTTTATTTTACTTTCACAAAACTAGCCTCAAGTAAAATAGAGAACAACACGCTACACTTTTTTAGACATAATTGTATCGATACATTAAACAAAAACAAAAAAATTTAAGCAAAAGTAATACATCAGAGTTTAAAGTAATAAAATCTTTGAAACTAAAGATTGAGGATAATGATTAAGTTTTGTGCAAAGCAGACTAAGAAAATATTGTTTCTATCGTTACAAGTAATAATTATACTAAAACAAAAAAATTCAATACATAATGACAGTTTTTAAATTTTGACTTCTGATCTTACTTAAACTTTTCGAAAGGTTCCAAGGCCACTAGAAAGGAGTGTCATTATGTTTTAGGTAAAAACAGTATAAATATGTTAATGTTATGAATCTTATGGCACCAAAATTATACAGCTTACAAATAATATACAAAGAAAATATATTTATGAGACCCATCGTATCTTATACTAATGCACCAACATATCTACTTGCTAAAGAACTTAATAGAGTACTCTCTTCTCCTCCTCAATTTTAATTTCAATACAGTAATAAAAAACAAGCCAGTTAGTTTATAGTATGAAGGATATTAAAATATCACATAACACAAAATTAGTTTTATTCGATGAAGTGAACTTGTTTTCTTCTGTCCCTACAGACCAACTTAGAATTATGGTTAAATACTTGATCAGTAAAAATAACTCTTTATGTTTAACTTCTAAGCAAGAAATTTTATACTTAGTTAACATTTGTCTTGAACACAGTTACTTCAAATTTGATAAAAAATTTTATATACAATTTAACGGTCTACCAATGGGCTTCTTATTCTCTCCTCTCCTTAGCCAAGTCTTCATGTCACATGTAGAAGATCCTAATTTTATCTCTGCCTCACCTTCAGTAAATAGTGTTCTACATTAGGCACGATAAGTGCGTTATGTCTTCCGTGTTTGAAGATGAACAGGAAAAACGTTAAAGAGGTGTCTTCATTACACAAATACCGCTGTACTCAGTATTAACTTTACGATTGAAATAGACAAAAATAATAGTTTGATTTTTTTGGAATAAAAATAACCCGAAGTAATGATAAATTAGAATATAAAATTTATGGAAAATCAACGTTTACTGACATTTTAGTGCTACACAATTCGAAATAGTTCATCAAAGTTAAAATAAGTGCGTTTTATTCTTTTATACAAGGATTATTGTCAATACCCTAACAAAAATATCACTACGAGAAAAAATTATTAAAACGCCTAATAACAAATAATGGGTACGATGAAACTATTATGGATAGTCTAAACAAAATAACAAGCAAAAAACTTGTACTCAAACACTGTAATTCAATATTGCCAGAAAACAAAAAATTCCACACGTTAAAAAATGTTTTTCCAGTAGTTTCAGAGAAAGTTGGTAAATTATTAAAAAGACACAAAATAAATTCAATTTCATTTAATAAACACAATCTCAAAACCATTTTAGTTAGTAATAAAGAAAAATTTGATATTTTGCAGAAAAGTGTAGTATACTCAATTGAATGCTCAGATAGTGACGCTATGTATAATGGACGAACGGGGCGCGCTCTGTCTACACGTATTGATAAAAATATTAAATCTACTTACAATAATAAAAGCGTGACTGGTTTGAATGAACATTATAGCTCACATGTACAATTTTCCGATTTAAATTATATAAAATTGTTACATAATAAACCTAAAAGTCTAAAACTCAATTAATTAGAAACAATAGAGATTGTTAAAGCACAAAGACAAAACAAATTTATAACTAACGATCAACTTAATTTTTCTCTTTCACCGATAATAGATACTGCCATTATTAACTGTATTTAGAACGACGCTTTTTACACTTACACTCTTTAACTTTCCGTTTGCTAGAAATAATTTATTAATATTAGTCTTATTAATTTTATATGTACACATTGTTGATTAAACCGTTTTTATATTCAGTATATGTTGAACCTCTGACAATGACGTAACTGCCGAAACAGCTGTCAGCCTTACTTATAGTAAGAAATAAATTGTTAAAGCAGCCATACCTATAATGTACTTTTAATTAACTGAGCTGTAACCACACTGCTATTTAGCTTTTACTAAATTTTTGATAATACAAGCTGTCTAAAAAAGTCACTAATATTTTTCGATAAAGGTGACCTTAGAAAACATTCAAATTAAGAGATAATTATTAGTAGTACGATTACGATAATAACTACAAATGCTTTAATTTATTTTTTAATTTAGTAATAAAATACATAGTATACCTGAAACCGTCAAATCCGTATTCATCAATGTACCAACGTAAATTTGATAGTAAGAATCTCAACACTTCATAACTACCATAATTAAATAATCGACTATCCCACAATGGATGTTGACCTCTGTCACCGTGGTGAAAGAAACACGAATCTGTACCATCAAACATATTTAATCCATCAAGTGTATTTTTTGAGGCATGTGAATGAACAACATCCAATACAACGTAGAGGTTATTCTGATGGGCAATATCTATTAATCTTTTCAATTCTTCTGGTGTACCAAAACGAGAAGATATGGCAAAAAACGAGGTCACCTGTGGTTAGAGAAATTCATGCTTTAATATTTTTTTAAAACTAAAAAGTTTTAAGATACGTTTAATGTTATTACATGGTTGAAAATTCTATACTATTTAAGTGATTTACGTTAGAAATTTAAAAATAATTTCTTGATTCATTTAACAACTGTCGTTCATAAAGATTCCTGTTTCTGTTTTATAATTAACAAAGTGATTCTTTAATATTTTAACCTGTGCTCTAAAAAAAAAAATGATGCATGATTATTTAACCCCGTAATTCTTTGATTTTAAGCAATCTCCTTTTAACAATCTTCAAGAGTGCTATCTCTATTCTTACTTCTTCAAGTGTTTGTGAAATTGTTTATGCTTTCAGTGTAATTCATTCCGTAAGGCAGTATAGACATGAGATCAGCTGTTGAGCAGTAACACTTGCAATGGAAGATGCACAATTTCAAATATACAATGGCAGACTTTCATGACTCACCAGCTCTTTTATTTAAGGTATTAACTGATGAAAAAAAAATTGAATTATTGTTTTGTAAATATCACTCAAATACAAGATTTAAAAAATTACTGTTGTACAAGGATAAGTGCCACAACACATAAAAGTGGATCGAAAACTTCAAAATAATTGGCACGAACTACCACTAACGTGAGATTGAGATATGTTTCAGCCACTAACGAAAAATTATCATTGTAACAAAACAACTATCACAAAAAATTTAAATGTAACTATAACTGACATAACAAATGCTACATCTCTTGATGTGGAAATAACTTCAATACAAATTTACAACACTTAAACAAACTGCAACTGTTTCATTAAATATCAAGTTTTTGGGCACGTTTTTTGTTGGTATGCATTTCTGTTAAAAAAAGAGTTGGAACATTTCACATATTCCTGGTATTCAGCAACAGCTTATGAAGTTTTTGATGTACTAAACTACACTTTTAAATATTTATTACTACAAAACAGCCAATATTCAGAACTGTTAATAAGATAGAAACATTCATTTTAACTGGCTACTTCCGAAACACTCATTTTTGGTATCAATGGAATCCTCACTTTGATTTTTATCAAGTATTGTTAACTAATAGGTTTTTAATAATTTAACTTTCAATCGTACTGTTAATTTTTTACAGACTCACATTTTTTTTTTTTTCGATCATCTCATAATAGTCTTACTAATTCTGTTTACAAAATAACAATTTTACAAGTCTAAATGAGTTTTTTAAAAAATATAGTTAAAAATCCAGTTTAAAGTCTCGACGTATAATTTTTCATTACTTTTATAATTAATAAATTTTTGCAAAATAGGTAAAAGAATCACAAAGTTATTAAGTCTTAAAGGAGTTTTTGTAACCCTCTTTGATTCTCTTATGTAAAAAGCATCGCCTTATACACAGGTAGAATAAATTTTTCATCCTATAACAGTAGATTTGATCTTCTTCTTTTCATTCTTACCTAATATTATCATGAAATCCTTCAAACTATCCAACAAACATCTATGAAACTTAGAGGATATGCTTATAAGATATTCCGGATTTATTTTCCATCAAGAAATACTGAGATTGATTCCGAAAAACCATAAACTTAACACGTAGACTTATGGGAGTCATCAACAAATTTGCTATAACTCTGGAAGTACGCGATAGACCTCAAACAATATACTTCAAATTTAAAGAATGCTTTTATAAGAACTTAATGATGAATGAGAAAATAACATGTTAGCGACTAAGATTTTAAGAAAATCGAGAGAAAAGTGATGTTCTCCCGTCTACGCATGCACAGATAAAAATAAGAAAGTTAATATTTTACGACTTTTAAAGTGATTACAAAGCATACAATATAATCAAAGTTGTGACTTAGAAAAATAATTTTTATGAGTTAAGCACTACGTATTATAAAAATATAAATATGCCTCTCACTTGTAAGAGTACCTAATGCCTAAGCTACCTTAAAAAATGTTAAAATATAAGTTTGTATTAAAAATAAGGTTAACGATGTATTAACACTAAATTAATATGTTTTTTACATTCTGTAAGAAGTTTTTTTTTAGTAGCTTGAAAAAGAAAAAGTAGTACCAGGTTAGAATAACATTATGGTTAATTTTATAATCAATTGGAATTGTGCGAAAATGGTTAAATGTATAACATCTAGATTTAAAGGTGTTGTAGTTTCTTACAATAGCTTTGATTTCTTTGCATTTTCAGACGTTTCAGATTTATTATTTATTTGTTAAAAGCGAATTGACAAACCACTATTTTAGCGATTTTTAGCATTTTGCAACTAAAGCAATTATCCAACTGCTGACCATCACGGCTCATGTTGTAGGTCTTTTGAATATACATTTTTTATCCGAGGTATTTTTTAATAAGCCCAACAGAAAAATGCTACGGTTAGGAAAATACTTTTCCATGCCACAATTAGGCCAGAAAACAGTATTTCAAGTAAATTTAGTTGCCTTAAACAATGTATTATTTATACTTACTATGAAAAGCTTCTAAAGCAGGGGCAAACTAACTTCCGCACTCTTGTTTTGCTAGAATGCTACTTTTTCTGGTCTAGTTTAATATGAACGGTTGTCAGCAATATTACAACCCTAGTTGATGCAACAAATTTACAAGCAGGCAGGTAACGCAATATTTACGCTCCATGAAGAAAAACACGTGGAAACACGTTTATAAATAAAATGTGCATTTAACAGAGCTTAAATGTAATGCTGCAATATGTATATATGTATATATANATGTTTATGTGTATATTAAAATTACATTAGACAATTGAAGTAACGTCTTGAAATGTTTTTTTTTTCATAGTAAATAAATAATTCACATGATTTAAAACGCACAATAAAGTATCTTTTTTATAATTTAGTAAAAGAATGTCATTTTTAAATAAAGAAACTGTATTTAACACTTTTAGTGTTAAATACTTTATAAACCTTAGAATAAAATAGACACTTATAAGTAAGAGGAGTAGTGGATGTTACTCGATTTCTCATGTTTATGTCAATTTAAAAACAATATATTTTGTATGACGGAAAATACACCAATAAATCAGGCTATCTGACCTTTAACCTCTACACTACTTATACAAAGAACCATCGTAAATCAAATGAATAACCATCATAAGTTAATGGATTTTTTGTAAAAAGTTCGTGTAATTGAGCAATATTTATTCAAACAAAATTTTTAGTATAGCTGCTGTTGATACTGATGAGAAAAATTTTTTTTACTTTTTATTTTAAAACATGAACATCAATGATACTTCATATACCTAAAATCTTAGACACGACATCAACATTTTTGAAAAAAGTTCTACCAGTATTACCATCATTGGTGCTGTCAAACCCCTACTTTGGTTTATCAACTGCAATTCTTAATTTTGTTTGTAAATCCCGTTAAATGTCAACTTTTCTTTGTCTAACAGCTTCTTTATCGTCTGAAGTCACCTAAAAATGATAAAGTTCTTCTTTCATACATTTAATACTGTTAACCGTGCTCTACAATACTTGACAAGATCTTTTGCTTGATAATACAGACTAAAAACAAATACTTACACGCCACTTTTTTACTGTCAATCTGTAGGACACATTTAAAACACATTCCAAGACTCTTATATATGTGTGAAGAACTGGTATTCCATTGTTAAGTGCTACTTTCTTAATAGATCTTGCTTTGAGTGAATTGATGTCATTTAGATGAGAAATTGTAGCTCCACATATATGACAAGTTTGATTCGAAGTATCATTTAGAACTGAGCATATCCAATTAAAAGATATTTTTTAATAGCCATATGATGTATACGGCATATCATGCTTCGGCGGCATCGTAACTATCGTTATTATAGTTACGACTTACTTTCCCATCTATCATAGTCAATGCCATTTTAAACGTCCCTTTGAATCCATTCATCAAATGTTTTTGTAACTTATGAATTTGTTCCTTCAAAATCCGTTCTTCATTCAAGATGACGTCTTTTGTTTCCTTCGAAAACAGTATTCTAATTGGACGACAAGTGCGATTCGATGATGGAAATTTATTAGTCCACAAAATTTCATGAGACTTGTCATCAATAAGTTGTAATTGTACTATCAACGAGCAAAAAATACTATCGTCCTTGACCGTTTTATCAGACCCTTTTTGTTTGTAGGAGTTTGCAACTGTTCGATCGAAATCGTACTTAACGCGTAAGGATAAACTTGTTCCATTATCTGGACATGATAATTTTAAAAATTTTAACAATCGTGCAACTGTTTGATTTAATAAATCTTGTAACGGGACTTCATAAACTGTCTCAGTTATAATCATATTTTTCGGATAATGTATCCTTCTTGGCTACGCTAACCTTTCATAAAATAATAAATAAATTTTTAAGAATGTTGTCCTGTAATGGTTTATACTATGCAAGCTACAATATTGTCATTTTAAAATTTATAAATTGCAGTATAAGAAGTTAAAGCAGCTTTTTGTTTTCTTTTGTGACCTGCTTCTACAAGAATCTCATAATTTAAATATTATGCAGCAGCGTAACGCTATATACTGTTCATTCATTAATTGCAATCTTATTAGTTATAAGTAAAACAGAAATTTAATTTTTGTATTTACAAGTAATAAGAGTTTGTCTTTACTTTACTAGATAGTGAGAGTGTTGAAAAATAAAAAAGTTTAATAAAACAATACGATTTGATAACTTCGTAGATGTTCGTACGTCTGTAAGATATTGTAAATAATAATAATTTCAAATTGAATTACTGAGAAAAAAATTGTAATAAAAATTATCACTATTAAATGTAATATGTAGTATTGTCATCATAACGAAATTCAAAAAAATTTATATGTAAATTTATTTCTACGTATTTTTTAAATTTAAATGAAAACAGAGAAAAATAAAGTAATTTAAGAATACTTTTGGAAAGGACTCGCATAGAAATGGCGATGGAAATCAGCAGCTAGTAGACCAAAACCATTACGTATAGCAGTGTGTTATTAAGGAAATTACTACATCTTACTTT